AATAGTAACGATGGACCATTTCATCTACTCTATATAAGAAATAGAAACGATGGACCGTTTCATCTACTCTATATAAGAAATAGTAACGATGGACCGTTTCATCTATTCTATATAAGAAATAGTAACGATGGACTGTTTCATCTACTCTATATAAGAAATAGTAACGATGGACTGTTTCATCTATTCTATATAAGAAATAGTAACGATGGCTGGGCGGTGGTGGCGCACGCCTTTAATCCCTGCACTCGGGAGGCAGAGCCAGACGGATCTCTGTGAGTTCGAGGCCAGCCTGGGCTACCAAGTGAGTTCCAGGAAAGGCACAAAGGTTTCTACACAGAGAAACCCTGTCTCGAAAAACAAAAACAAAAACAAAAAAAAGAAAGAAATAGTAACGATGGACCATTTCATCTACTCTATATAAGAAATAGTAACGATGGACGGTTTCATCTACTCTATATAAGAAATAGTAATGATGGACCGTTTTCTCTATTCTATATAAGAAAGAAAGGGAGAACATTGAGGGAGTCAGGAGAGGAGACACTATTTCATCCTAAGGTTCATTTCTCCATCAGGTCAAACATTTCTGTGAGGGTACTGGGAAAGGGGAGGTGCAAAGCATGGGATACTGAAAATGGTTTCTAAACTAGCCACATTTTAAACTGGATACTTGTTTTGTATCTGTCTTAAGATCTTCCCTAGTTTTTACTTTGTGCTGTTACAAACTATTTCTCTCCTTTTGCAATCTCTCCCCCCAAATCCTTCTTAGTTCTTCTGTTCTCCCCTTTCCTGACTAGATGAACTTGACCCTCATCTTCCTTCTTTCTCAACAAAATACTATCTCTTCTCATCTCCTCTAGCTCTCTTTAGTTTATCACCTTGACCTTGGATGGCTGGGATTTTTTAAAAGTTTCATATCCTACCCCTCCACCTCGCAGCTATTCCGTGGAGTTGGCTCCATCAGCATTCTCACTTTATGAAGACTGTGATATGGGGAAGATATGAAAACCCATTAGCTTGTGTCCTCAGTCTCAAGTTCCATCTGGTCCTATTGTATTCCACGCAGTATACTTAGAGTTTCGTCTCTGTGTCACACTATTTCCCACGGGTCTTAGAACTTTACTGTAGACACTTGGAACGCTTTTATTAGGGACAGAATTAAAGGAGGCCCGTTGGCCCACAGGGCCCTTTCTCCTTTTGGTTGCAGCCTCTCTCTCCTGCTCTCCTCCCAGGAGAGGGCACTCCTTTCCTGAGCCCTTCCTTTGCATGTCGCGTTCACTCCAGGACTTCAGTCTGTTAAGCAAACACTGTCCCCATTTTCCTTATTACCAGTCACCAGTCTCTTTCATGAGTAAAGCTGTTTCCTATTCACCTTCCTTTCAGTACTAAAATGTGTCAAAACTTGAAAGTTTACATTCAAGAGTCTTTTGTGACAAACTGGCCTCCCCCACCAGATGGCGCTCTAGGGATTACACCTAATTCTTGTGGGTGGTTTGTGGAATACCTCCCCTTCCTCCTAGTCCGTGATCACCAGGGCACTAACTCTCTTCTCTGGATTTCCTTTTTCTCCTTGAATTTCCTTTTTCTCTTTGGACTACCCTGCCCCCCAAAACGCCACCCACCCTATGAGTGCAACCTTATCTCAAAGCTCAACTCTCATTCTTCGTAAAGTTCTTCCTATCGTGCTGTTGGCATTGGTTGGTGCTGGTCTGTCTTTCCCTTTTGTATAACTCACTATCACAGTCCCTTTAATACTCATGCTTTCAACTTGGCTTCTCTGTGTTGGATCTTCCCCGGAGGCCCTGAAAGTCAACTGTAAAGGACAAGTGAACCATTTCCCCGTTGTCTAACCGCGAATGTCTTCATTTACAGCAATAGTAACACAGCTGTCCTAGTCATCACTGACAGTTTCATCTTATCTCCCAGATGTCAGAGGCATCAGCAGATGTGAGATCCTGAGGCAGCTTCCCCCTCAGGAAGCCTCTTTGTGCTCTTAGCCTTCCCACAAGGAAGCTCAGGATGCACCCTACTTTCCTCTCCCACAAGGAAGCTCAGGATGCACCCTACTTTCCTCTCCTGCCGACAGCACTCACCAAGTCAATTCAAACCAGTCTCGAAGGCTGACTACTACCAATAGTCCATGCTGCATGTGATAATCTCCCACTTTTCTCCAAGTTTAGTCTTAAAAATTATCTATAGGGCTAGAGAGATTGTTTCGTGGGTAGAGTCCTTGCTGTGCAAACATAAGGACCAGAGTCTTGATCCCTAATATTCACGTAAAAGTCAGACATGGTGCTATATGTCTGTGACCCGAGAGCTGAGAAGTAAGGGCAGAGACAGAGAGGTGGGCGGAAGACTAGCCTAGCCTAAAGAATCAACTTCTGGTTCAGTGAGAGACTCTACCTCAGAAAACAAGATGGAGATAAAGGCACTTGAGATGTACTTCTGACCTTCTTCATAGGCACATGGGAGCAAGTACACATACATATGTGCACACCTAGGCATACAACACACAGAGAGAGAGAGACAGACACACAAACACACACACTACAATGATTTTTATAAATTACTTTGATATATACAATCATGTTTAAATATATAGGCAAATATTTTGTTAGTCTGAAAAAAGTGAGGTCATTTAAAAAGTGACTTAAATACCACACTGAGGATCTTTCCTCCTCTAGAAATAAATGACTCACCTCTTCTCTCACTGGACAGTTATTATTTGCTCACATGTCCACAGTTATTACCAACCACATGCAAATATTTACCTCAGCTTTAAGTATCTGAAACAGCACATCCAGTAAAATATTGGTTGAATAAAATTCCTCAGAGTTCATACTTGTAAATGAGATGACTTTATTGTAGCATTATTTTAAGATCTTTAGCACATAGTGCCAGAGATTTTCTAAGAAATTCTCATTCCTCAATGTTGTAAACTTATTTTTAAATCCTTTTACTATTTGGTGATGTATAACTCAAGTTATAATTTACATTTCTTGGATCACCCTGGAGATAAAACATTTTTCACCAGTGCTGGCCTTTGAATCTCATCATATTACCTCATTCTCTTTTGTCTGTTTTTTGCTAACAGTGGTGTGTTTCCAACCTATTTATATAAACATTTTACATATAATTTAAACATGGTACAAACAAGTCCTTGGTTAGATGTATTAATAGGTCTGCCTATTTGGCATATTTCTTATATTTCTTTAATTCCGCTGAATTAAAATGTTTAATGTATTTTAATGTTTTATGTTGTATATACTTCCCCATGTAAACACATGGAAATATTATCTTAATTTTTCTGTTTATGTGATAATTATACTTTCTATTCTGGGGCTTGTTAACTTTTAGGACTGTTTTGTGGGTTCTGGTGGAGCTGTCTCTTGTTCTTTATGGATAAGCTATCTATGTTGTCTGTGGTGGTCTCATTTGGTCTGGCTCTGCCCTTTGCCCCAGAAAGCTTCTCTCCCAATGTCCTTAAATTGATTAGCCTGACAAACCAGGCTATCTTCATCAAGTTTCCCAGTGTCTTCTTACGTGGCTTCTCCCACTCCTCTCCTCTGCATCACCTGTTAACTGGATACTGGAATGCCTGTGGATTGAACATATCTTTCTATTTCTCCCAGTTCTCTAGCTTTTTAAATCACTATACTGCATCTTCTGAGATTTTTTTCTTATTTTCTCATATTTTTCACTTCTTTTGTTGAACTTTTGATTTGCAATAGGTCATTCCTGTTGCCTTGGGTTTTGTTGCTTGTGTGGATTACCCTTTTCATATTGATCTTGTTTTGCAGACAAATTTCTCTCTTTAAAAAA